CTCCCCTCCTGGGATTTTGGGCATGCATGCACACACGCCCAGCGTGTTTCAAGTGGCTAGAGGTCCAGAACTTGAACCATGGTCAGCCATGTGGGAGTTTAGCACCCCAACCACCATACCATCTGCTGGCCCCGTTTTGATTTTATCTTTTAATATTTAATCAGGGGATCAGCAGTTGACATAATGGCTATGTCACTGAACCCCCATGTGATCGACCGCGGTTTGAGTCCCGGCCTCGGTGGCTTAAACGCACGCCAGGCATGTGTGCGTGCGTGCCCACAATCCCGAGAGGAGAATGGAGGAGAAGGGATTGCAGCGTGGCCATCCCCCCTGGGGGGGGGGATTTCTCGCTTTCTGTCTCTCTGTCTCCATGTGCCTCTCTGGAGAGCGCACGTGCCCTATAGCAAACACCTCTCCAAAAATAAAAAAAAAGTAATCAGGAAAAAAAAAAAAGAGTCAGAATGTTCTCATATTTACAACAAGGAGATGAAAATAACTGCAGGAAGACCTTGCGGTGTGGAAGTAATAAGGTGTACACAGAAAACGACCCTCAGTGCAAGAATCCAAGGTGTGGAATGGTGGGTTACAGGTAGGTGCCCAGGCAGTCACTGTGGATCGCGCTGGCATTGTCACTAATAGCTCCTTGTTTTATCTGGAAAGGTTCTGGTTTGACAGTAAATAGTGGTCACTGTCATCAAAAGGCTGGTGAAACAGGTAGGGCTAGGTCATAGAGGGTTTCGGTTCTGCACTGAGTTTGCACACTAGCCAGGGGAACCCATAAAGAGTGTCATGCAGAGGAACAAGGGACCAGCAGTTGGTGTAATGGTTATGTCGCTGGACTCCCATGTAGTCGACTGTGGTTCGAGTCCTGGACCTGGTGGCTTAAACTCATGCCAGGTGCGTGTGCGTGCGTGCCCAAAGATCCCGAGAGGAGAATGGAGGAGAAGGGATTGTGATTGCAGCGTAGCCATCCCCCTTGGGGGTGATTTCTCGCTTTCTCTCTCTCTCTGTCTCCTCTCTCTGTCTTTCTGGTGAGTGCACACACCCTATAGCAAAAACCTCTCCATAACAAACAAAAACACAACAAACAAAAAAAGAGGAATAAAATGGTCAGAGTTTAGAAAAGTCACTTTACTGCTGGGTCCTCTGTGAACCCATATAGTAAGGTCTTTTTTCCTGGTAGGATGAGGGTTGGATTTCATCACATACTCCCAACTCCCACCTCTACCCCCACCTGGGCACACACACGGCAGCCCTGTGGTGTGCTATGGAGAACATTTTAGGAGAAGAAGAGCGATCAGGACCTTACACTGAAAGACGTTGTCAGAAATGAAAACGCTTGCGTCAGCATAAAGGCAACTGAGGGGCACTGACGTTACTAGTACTGGTGTCATTCTACCCATTCTAACTGGGTAGAGAATAGAAGGAGGCTAAGGACGAAGTGAGACTGAAGAAAAGAAACAGAAAACCCAAAGGACCTGGAGGTCAAAGAATGAGTGTGGCAGAAATGAGACCAAGGGCTAAGGGAGTGAGAAGACCAGATCAGACGGTAGGGTCTGGAGCCCCGAAGAGATGGATTTCCAGCTTTAGCTGAGGAAGAATTCTAGACTGTGGAAAGGAAGATCCACATCAAAACCAAGAATTGGACCTTGGCAAGACAATTCTCCACCTCACCCAGCCTCTCACCCGCTCTTTGGACAAGTGCTCATCCACAGCGGCCCTAGTCCAGTCACATCCATAGCTCCAGGACTGTGCCCTGGGGGGCCAGCTGCTGTGGCGCAGCGGTGACACCAGTGTTCTGCAGCGCTGGAGGCCACATGGACAGCCACAGGTTTGGATCCCTAAGTCAGCCTGAAAACATATCATGTGTGTGTACACTGGTGCCCAAGATCCTGAGGAGCTGGGAGGCTGGGGAAAGGGGGTAATGACAGGATGACACCCTCCTGAGTGTGCTCCCTCCTGTCCTCTTTCTCTCAAGTGCGCATGCACAAACTCTATATTATTACTTAAAAAGAAAAAAAAAAGACTGTTTACTTGGAGAAAGGCTGCTTCCTTTTCATGGCTTATCATTGTATTATCATTTCTACCCTAAGAAGGAGTGGTATATTCCATTTACACAGTTGCAAAAGTGTGCAAATGTGGTGTAGTAAAAATCTCAACAAAGATTTTTTTTTTTTTCCTGTAATGTTTCCTATTAAGTTCTGGGGCTATAGAAAAAGAAGGGGGCAGCCAGGTAGCATGATGGTTAAGGCCAGCAGGCCCACCCCACATGGCCAAGTGTATTCATGGTTCAAGTCCTGTATGTAACAGTTAGAAAAACGTGCCAGTGTGTGTGCCTGCGTGCCCAAAATCCTGAGAAGGAAAAGTGATTGTGGTGTGGCCATCTCCTCTGTGGGGGGTGATTTCTCACTGTCCCTCCCTTTCCTGTCTCTGGAAAGTGCATGTGCTCTATAACAAAAGAAAAAAGAAAAGAAAAGAAAAGAAAAGAAAAGAAAAGAAAAGAAAAGAAAAGAAAAGAAAAGAAAAGAAAAGAAAAGGAAAGAAAAAAGACAGAAAAGAAAAGTTAAGAGTGAAGGGCTGGCCTGGGATTTCAGGAAGCTCACAGCTGAGTCAGGACGGACTGGACTCTGAACCTGGGAAGGCACAGTAGGCACTGATGAGAGAAGAGTTAGGGAGGAAGGAGTCATTCGTGTTGACAGCCTGCCTGGCAATTGCAGATTCAAGCCATCTGACATAACTGACCGAAAGGGAAAGTTATAAGAAATCAATTGAATTTCTCGCACCCAGAAACAAGAGCAGGAACGAGTCTTTGTGCCAAAGGCCAGGTAAAATCCTAACTTCCTCCAGAGCTTAGAAAATAACTCAAGCCATGGGACCAGCAGTTAGCGTAATGGCTATGTCACTGGATTCCCATGTAGTCGACAGCGGTTTGAGTCCCGGACCCGGTGGCTTAAACTCACGCTGGGTGCATGTGTGTGTGTTCCCAAGATCCTGAGAGGAGAATGGAGGAGAAGGGATTGCAGCGTGGTCATCCTCCCTGGGGGGTGATTTCTCGCTTTCTGTCTCTCTGTTTCTCTCTGTCTTTCTAGCAAGCATACACCCTATAGCAAAAACCTCTCCAAAAACAGAAAAAGAAAACAACTCAGGCCAAAACTTTGTAGCAGGCCTGTGCTCTTTGACCAAATCAGAACTAGGAATGTCTGCAGGGACAAACATATCATTTCCTAGAAGTTCGCCACAGCAAATTCATTCTGTTATTGGCCTTAAATATAGCAGAGGATTCTGCGATTTAAAACTCACAGCGGGCGCGTGTGTATGTGTGCCCAGGATCCCGAGAGGAGAATGGAAGTGAAGGGATTGCGGCATGGCCATCCTCCCTGGGGGGTGATTTCTCGCTTTCTGGTTCTCTGTCTCTCTCGGTCTCTCTGGCAAGCACACACACACCCTATAGCAAAAATGTCTCTAAAATAAGAAATGCTAATTCCAGCTAATGTTATAAATTATGAAATTTATCGACACGGAAAGAAAATATTCATAGATCAATCTAGACTATTATCGCATGATGGCACCTGACCTCACTAAATTACTATATTATATCATGTGTGTGCACACGCACACGTGTGTGCACATGTGGACTAAAACTAGAAACATGAGAAAAAAATAATTGCTATGCTAAAATGGTAAAATTCTACACAGTCTAATCATTTTACTGACGATTCCATACTGGGAATATTTATCATTGTTTCCTCATTTGATGGTTCAAATCAACAAAAGCAAATTTTATTCTCAAAATCATGCAACATCTAGTCCAATCCCTTTGGATATGAAAAAACAACACTGCTTTGTCCAAGTAAACCCAGGAAAACCAGTGTATCTCCAATACACACCTTGCTCCCTAAGACTACAAGGTGCAATTAAGAAAATGTTTTTAAAAAGTCACAGAATGGGGCCAGCAGGTAGTATGGTGGTTAAGGCACTGAACTCCCATATGGCCAACTGGGGTTCGAGTCCCAGACCTAGCGGCTTTAAAATCATGCTGGGCATATGTGTGTACATGCCCAAAATCCCAACAGGAGAATGGAGAAGGGATTGAGGCATGCCTATCCCCTGCCCCCTCACCTCCTGGGGTGGGGGTGATTTCTGATTTTCTCCTTGTCTGCCTCTCTGTCTCTCTCTGGCAAGCACACATGCCCTAGCACAAAAACCTTAAGAATAAAAAATTCACAAAGAGTAGTTGCATGAGAGATAGGAGAGAGAGAGAGGCCTCTTCCGTGGGTCTTGGTCACACCACAATCCTCATCTTCCACCTCCAGCTGCCAGGCCTCTAAAAAATTCCTGCCTGGCTTGTTTTCTGGCCTACATAAACTGCTTCCA